GAAAGGCGGGGCATAGAGGAGAAACAATAATGTACAGTATGTGGAAAATAATGTGATTTTTGAACCTTAAACCGCATAAACAGATTTCATCTTTTTAGCAACATCATATGACCCCTTTAAGCATTTTCTTTATAATGGTTTTCTATGGGGGAGAAAACGCTTAACGTGCAATGTAGCGCATTGCGTTCATTCTGGGATTTTCTGGGCTATTCTGCTTGTCTGTAAATAGTAGCTATGCTTTTATTAATAAGGTGTATACTGAAATTGGTCCTCCAATGTCACTGTTTTTTGCCTTGAACAAACTGACCGTATTTCTTTATACTTGAGTCCAAGTTCAAAATAAAACCATTGTGAACATATGGAGCTGTCTGTACCATTGCATACTGTAAAGTAATCAGGATTTGTCTAAACTCAGGTTTTGCGAGAGAACGCAACATTTTGCAAGAGAGTGCAAAAGCTTTGAAGAATAGTTTTCCTCCCATCCTGTATTTTTCCACCACCATGTCCCTTTTGGGGCTCCGTGGAAACTTTTGAGCTCCCCGAGAAAGCAAAAGCACTGATGTGTTCCTTCCACCTCACCTGCAAGCAAACGCAAGTTTTCAGATTCAACACAAAGGCCTTGAAATATAATTTTACCTCCCATCTAATTTTTATAACGCACCGATGAACAGGCATTTGAGATGACAATCATCACATAAATCTCTAAAACCATAACTAGCATGGTTCATGTCCTATACCTAGTTCTAAAACATAAATACAGTTAAACTGTGTCCGCAAGCATTTTTAGGCATCTTTTTTTTTCACACACACTTTCATGGTTTTCACTTTCAAGAGCTGGTGTGGATTCGTCTGGTTCTGATGAAGATGTGGTCTCTGGTCCAGCAACATGTTCTGTGAGATGAATGACTTCAGCCAGCTCCGTCTCTAAATCAGATAATCCCAGATTTACAGAATCTGTATGAAACAACACCTCTAACTCACATTCAGGTCTGTATTTTATGTTTATGTGTATTTTGCACCCTTTCTCACCTTTCAGCATGGCTGTAATCTGCTCATCATCCATTGACGTATTAATTGATTTCTCACCTGCTGTGGGAGTGGATGTGTTTGAGAGGATCGGGGTATCTGGGGTTTGATTTTGAGGGGTCGGGGAACTTGGGGACTGATTTTCGGGGATCTGAGCAGGTGGGGCTGAGGGACATGGTGTACCTGGGGTTTGATTTTGGTGGGTAGGGGTAGCTGTAGTTTTATTTTGAGGGTTTGTATTAGCCGGGGTTGGTGTTAGAGTTGGGGTAACTGGGCTGGGTGTTGTGGGAACTGATCTGGTTGAAGGCGTTGTTGAACGACACGTAGGTTCAGGAGTTGTAGGTCCAACAATCACGTTTCCGTCAGCGTCGGCCAGATATGACACCACACCAAAATCACCCATGTTTTCGATCACATTCAACTGGCAAGAGCAAGAGGCACAAGTTACATGGACGTACAAATGCAGTTCTCATGTTAATCTTGATTTTTTTTCTATATTTATAGTCGACTACTATTTGACAGCCTTAAATTGTCAAATATAGCAAGATAGAGAAGACCTGCTATATTTAAAACTTTTGAGGTGACGCGAGTTGATCATGTATGCTTTTATCTCTGACCAAAAGTACATGCATGCAGTAAGCGGCTAAAATGTATTGCATAATGCAAATCTATCGCTACTTCTGTGTTTATTTTAATTTTTTGACAGTTGTGTGAATAATATGCAACTGCAGAAATAATTAACTATAGTGTTCGATGCTAATGTTTTACATTTTTACACTAGTAAACTATCACTTTTTATGACTTGAATTTAGGGATGCATATACATGAATGTTTTTCATTCTAGCATACATATATAATTTAATTTGATTCGTAAAATAAGATTGAATAAGTTGCTTTTCAAGATAAGCAGCACTAAAAAAAAAAAATGTTTTGCTTTTCAACATGGTTCAATTTCTACAGGTCGTTAATGTACTACAAGAGATTGTTGCACTCCAGTTGAGTAGAAATCAATTTGCTTCAGGTGTGTAAAGCCAACAACAGCAAAAATCAAAGAAAGATTGCTGGTCACACACTGAAATAAATCCAGGCTTAAGTATGTCTAGCAAAAATATAATTTAGCATATAAACGACATTGCACAATGCAAATGAATCGTTGTTGTAGTTTTTAATTCACTGTGCACTTTTTGCACTATGTAGTTTAAATAATATATAAATAAAATATATTTTTACTAGATCTTCTCCAGTCTGGATTCAATTCAGTGTGCAGCCAGCAATCTCGTTCTTTGCACGGATTGTTAATGAAATATAATGTAGGACTTTATTTTACTGTGTCCTTGTTACTTGTACTTACTGTATTATTAACAGTAATTATGCACAATTACATGCAACTATAAACCAAACCCTAACCATATAGAAAATACATGTTAATTAATATTACTCAGTACTTAAATATGTAATTACACTGTAATACCTTAAAATAAAGCCTGTATAGTACTGTTCCAATACTGTATTAAAATGGTGCATATTTACCCTTTATTCATTTTGAATTGGTTATGAAAAAACAGTACTTATGAACTCTTTCTGTGAGAGTGTGCAGGTTAAATCTGAAGTAGAGGGTGAAGTTAGTGACGGTGTTCAGGTTTGTCCAGGTGTTCAGACGACGGGACATCAGCCGTCTCTGGTGCAGGAGGAGGAAAGGGTGGAGACGAAAACAAGGGACACACAGAGAGGGAGTCGAGAGAATATGTGCTCCATTTATTGGAAATAACAGAGGAAGTCATCATTATCTGTGAGGTCAAACAGGAAGTGAAGTCATCACTGCTGTCATAATGGGATCGTGCATGCAGTGATTTATTAGAAATGTGAAACATTAGAGAGAATCCACAGAAAGCTTACAGCAGGGGCATCGTTTAAAGATTTCTTTACAGCACTGATATAGACTAATTGATGTTTTTTTGTGAATCTAAGCCTCTGCTTTTCAGACAGAGTAATGATAAACTATACAGAAATGGAGCGTCCATTTGTCCCTCAATTCAAATCGCTCAATCTTTTGCAAAACTACACAAGGAAAACCACACACACAATACAACCTGGAGTCAAACTGCATTCATTCTCTAATCTGGGCTTTAAACTATTTTACTAACACCACGATGGAGAAAATGGTCAAGTAAGCAATGCAAGCTCTGAAACTAGATCTATACAGAAAAAGATTTGTTTCCAGTTATAGCACTATTTTGACATTGTGGGTAGCGATGGATTAAAAGACTTTTCAATCTGCAACCAAGATATTAGCACCATGTTCTTAATCTCCACTGAGGATATGCACTACCGGTCAAAAGTTTGGAATAATTATGATTTTTTTTTTTTTTTTTATGTTTTTTGCTCACCAAGCCTGCATTTAAAAAAAAAATTTTTTTAAATATATATTTTTTAAATACAGTAAAATTATTTTATTAGAATGATTTCTAATGGATCATGTCACACTGAAGACTGGAGTAATGCTAAAAATTCAGCTTTGCATCACAGGAATAAATTAAAGCAATAAGCCCCGTGAAGCCGTGGTTTACAGTGAATTTATAACAGCTAAGGGGCGTTGTTGGGCACGACGCGAAGTGGATTAGCCGTATAAATTCACTGTAAACCATGGCTTCACGGGGCTCATTGCTTTTATAAAACGGTTATTCCATATACGTAGTTAGGTTTCACAAAATAAAACAGAGCAAATAAAGTGTAAATGATATTAATAAAAACAGTATTCTTCCACCAAACAATGTAGTTCCTCAGAAACGGTTGTGGTTCCAACAAAGTGGTTGCAGAGCAACACACAAAGTAAACAAAGGTGTGTGTTTGTATAGTAATTTACAACAGCTTAGAACGCGGCTCAGCCAATCAGAATCAAGGACCGGAACTATCCGTTTTATAATACATTTTAAAATGTATTTAAATAGAAAAGAGTTATTTTAAATTGCAAAAATGCGTAAATAAATGCAGCCTTGGTGAGCATAAGAGACTTCAATCAAAAACACAAAAAAATCTTAATTATTCCAAACTTTTGACAAGTGGTGTTGCTTCGAATTGTCAATGTAAATAGGGCATTACTGTCAACATGTCATCTAAATCTTTCTGAATCTTTTCAAATCTTTGAATAGTTTTTTTTTTTTTTACATTTAGTTTTGCATAATCATAATGTTTCTTTTTTTGTTGTTGTTTGGTTGGTTTTATTTCTTCTTGCCGGGTTCCTCGTCTGGGATGAAGACACTTACGGTGAAGTCGCCGCTCTCCGTGCCGTACTTGTTCTTTACCAGGATGCTGTACTTGCCGGAGTCAGACGTACTGACGCTGGTGATGGTGAAACTGGCAAACTTGCCGGACTCGAACTTCAGAATGTAGTGATCGTTGGAAACCATCTCGCGCTCATTCTTTAGCCAGGTGACCTCGGGTACGGGGTCGCCCCAGATATTGCAGGTCAGATTCAAAGACTACGAGAGAGGAGCGAAGAGACAAACAGATACTGAAAATGGGAAGTTTTGTCATTTTTGTCTTTTCAAGCCATACTGAGAACCATAGACACTACCTTGCCCTCTTGGATGGTCACAACATCAGGCAGACCACCTGCCACACGCGCACGATCTGTGAAAAACATAACGATTAGACATTTCCAATACACTCATACCACTTACAAAAGATACAGTTAAAGTGAAGCCTTAAGATTGTATTTCTGCCTTCATCTACTCACTTCTCTCTGCAGTTGCTGCAGCCCTGAGGAAAAGATGAAGATGGGAAAAGAAAATATCTTTAGTTATTCAACCGCTCGAGCTGAATAGTATCTGCCAATAATCGCAAATCATTTTTGACACTTACTTGAGTCTTTGAAATTCAGCGTATGCATCGTCAAATGCTGAAAAAAAATACAATTTCAATTTAAATGCATGATTATCATAAACTCGGTTTCAAAGCCTCCTGAGCTACCTAATTAAACAGCCTTTTAAGATGCACTTCCTCAGTAAAAAATTATATTTTAAATACATACAAATTTTAAATAAATACAAAAAGAAGTGCACTTTATCATACTTTTAAAAAGAGTACTTATGATAATAATAATAATTTAAAAGAATATACTTAAGTGATAACTGAATGCAGTGTTTTCAGACACTTAACTGCATGTTAATGACAATTAAATGAAAATGCCATTTAGTTTAATTTTATATGAAATGCAATTAGCTGAACTTTAGCGTGATTTTGACCCACTTAAGTAGGACTTAAGTACATCTTTATAATTACTTGTATTGTCTTTGAAATTTGGTTAAAGTACTGCTGAATGTGCTGACAAGCATTTATGATAAACTAAAATATTCTTTAATGTCATTTCTATTGAAACTTGTATGTCATGTATTTAAATATATCAATCAAGTATAAATCAATCAAGTGCTTTACATGTGCTTTAGTGTTAGCCACACATCAAAATAAGTTTACTAACTTTAAAACATTACAAACAATTATTAAAACAAAACGATTTAAAATGTACTTTGAAGTAAAACTTGTAATAATTTGACATTTTTACAAAGTGCACTTTTAAAAGTGTACTTAAGTATGCTAAGAAACAGTCATGGAAGTGTGTTAAAAGTGGCCTTTTATTTGATTATTATTATATTATTTCCAAATATAGTTTAAAAAATATATATTCTTTTAAGATCTAACGTACACTACATGTGCACGTTCTATACAGATAAGCACACTTATTTTTCACAAATGGAGATCCCATCACAACTAAAGTGAACCACAGTGTGATTTTTGCCTGCTTTGGCCATGGACAGTGTTTTTTCATTTTGGTCCAAGTACTCTCATTATTTTCAGAGGAGAACGGATCTGACTGCTGCAATTTGACGCTTAGTCGCAGTCATATAAATAATGAAGGCAGCAGGCAGCAAGGCAGGTCACTAGGTTTGGAGCATGTTTCCTCACCTTGTCCAGCCAGTTCCACAGTTCTGCGCAAGCCTCCTTTCCCATCGAAGAACTCAATGGCGTATTTGCCTTTATCTTTCTCTGTGGGTTCAGAGATCTGCAGCCACAGCTGCTCTCCCACCACACCGCTCTTAATGCGCTCGGTGAATGCGATCGCAGCGTCCCTTTAATAAAACACACACACACACACTTTTTTACTTGTCATGAAATAAAAGCAATAAAAAGGTGGATTACTCTGCATGGGAGCATTAAGAGTGGCAGCCTACTTTTCTAAAATAGTATATGTGACCCTGGACCACAAAACCAGTTATAAGGGTAAATTTTTCGAAATTGAGATTTATAGATCATCTGAATAAATAAGCTTTCCATTGATGTATGGTTTGTTAGGATTGGACAAGATTTGGCTGAGATACAACTATTTGAAAATCTGGAATCTGAGGGTGCAAAAAAATCAAAATATTGAGAAAATCATCTTTAAATTTGTCCAAATTAAGTTCTTAGCAATGCATATTACTAATCAAAAATTAAGTTTTGATATATTTACAGTAGGAAATTTACAAAATATCTTCATGGAACATGATCTTTACTTAATATCCTAATGATTTTTGGCATAAAAGAAAAATCAATAATTTTGACCCATACAATGTATTGTTGGCTATTGCTACAAATATACCCCAGCGACTTAAGACTGGTTTTGTGCTCCAGGGTCACATATGCTTTATCAATATTGTGACCACATTTAATTTTTGTCACAAATACAAACATTTGAAATTGACATTTAATAATTCGAAAATGTATTTAAAGTAAACCCGAAACTAGCGGCATGTGGAAAAATATGCTATACAGAGAAACTTGAGCTCACGTACTTCTCTCATTCAGCACAAATAAAAGCTTTGTATTTTTGGCGTTAACTACTATAACTTAACTATAAAACGTTAGTTAAACATTAACTATAAAAGTCGCTTTGAAATACAAGCTGCATATTTCAGATGATTAAATGTGTATTAATTTTTTTGCTGTTGTTATTATTATTATTATTATTATTTTTATTTATTTTTTCTCTGTTTTGATCCTGGTCTGTAATATGACATGTGCTATTCACTGGTTGTTGAAAAAAATAAAAATAAAATAGACTCATTCCTGACAATACAGTAACAACTAAAAAAAGAACTAAAACAAAGCAACAAAATAATAAAAGCTGCATGTAACTTGTGAGAATTATATCTTTTTTCTGCATGTCATGTGTGGGGATCCATAATTTAGACATTTTCAAGATTTACATAAAGTCTTCTTCTGAGATAAAAATTTCAAACGTGAACTAAATCCCACATTTATAGCTGTACATTGAACTTCAAATATTTTTTTTTTGTCAAAATCATTGTCAGAAAATGTCTTAATGCTAGAAAAATGTCATGCATTCTTAAGTTTAAGAGAAATGCTTCTTAAAAGGACAGTTTGCCCAAAAACTATAATTAATTTTCTGATGAAAATTTCTTTCATCGTTTACTCATCCTCAAGTTGTTCCAAACCTGTATGAGTTTCTTCCTTCTGTTGAACACAAAAGAAGATATTCTGAAGAATCATGGAAACCAAACAGTTGACGGTAGCCATTGACTTCCACAGTGTTTTCTTCAGTACTATGGAAGTCAATGGCTACCGCCAACTGTTCGGTTTGTGCTCAACATAAGAAAGAAACTCATACAGGTTTGGAACAACTTGAGGGTGAGTAAATGCTGACAGAATTAGCTAACACTTTATTTTAAGGTGTCCTTGTTACACATGTTACATGTATTTACTATTATAATAACATGCATAGTTACATGCAAGTAACCCTAAGCCAGACCCTAACCTTATAGTAAGTGCATGTAGTTAATTAATATTACTCAACTTGTGGAAAATGGACATCCTATGACCCCTTTAAATGCATAATTACACTGTAACAAGGACACCTTAAAATAAAGTGTAACTCAGAATGATCATTTTTGGGTGAGCTGTCCCTTTAAACACAGTCACGTGTTCTTACTTGTGATGCCAGGTGACATGCAGCTCGTCGTTGTAGTAGCTGACGAAGGTGTAAAGCCTGATCCCCTCCTCTGTGCTCTGGATCTTCAGTGGAGTGGAGGAGTTCGCTGGACAGAAAGAACGTCAACATCGCTCATACACTGCTAAAACTATATGGTACTGTGAAGATTTTTATGAGGACATATGAATTTGTTTACTGTATCCTGATAAAACATTTATGTTTGAAATTGACGTTGTAAATCTTACCAATAACACTGAAAACCTGGTTCATCAGGTCTTTGAATCCTGGAAAACAGATGATAGAAATTCAGTTCTAAAAGCTCAGTTGTGATAAGACAGATAATATCAGGAAGAAACAATCAATAATAGGTTTCACTTTTTTTTTTTTTTGCAGTGATTATTGGAGAAAATCTACTGAATTGGTATAAATATGATCTAATGTACAAGTATTAAGGGACAATTTAGATGTAAAAGATATAATCACAGCACAAATTAGTGCATGTTAGAATAAGAAAGTAATTTTAGAGCGTTTTATAATAATAGTAGTACTTTTCTGCTATGCTACCTTGGTCAGTGAGGTTGAGGGTGGAGGTGTCTTTGCCTCTGTCATCCTTCAGAACTACTTCATATATACCAGCATCCTTTCTGGAGATCTGCCATTGACACAAACAAACACAAAATTCCTAGTTAAGTATGTTTGTGTGATCTCCAATCTCACGCTACAGGAGCATATGTCCGAAAGCCAGGCTTTTCTGGGTCGCATGTCTTTGGCGTAACATTGACAGGAATAGATGAAGATGAAACCAACAAAGTAGAGAAAGACTGGAAACCCCAATGGATAATATGAGATGGAAAAGATCATCAAAATAATTCACCAATCAGAAACACTAAAACAGAACTGACAATGAGCAAATATAATGAAAAAGTTGATATGGGACAATCAAGACGGTAAGAGAAAATTTTGAAAAATGGGTAACACTTTAGTTTAGGGACCAGTTCTCACTATTAACTAGTTGTTTATTAGCATGCATATTACCAGCATATTGGCTGTTTATTAGTACTTATAAAGCATATTTTAATGCCTTATTCTACTTGACCATATTCTAGATGCCTTTATCCTAAACTTAACAACTACCTTAACTATTAATAAGCTGCAAATTAGAACTTTGAGGCAAAAGTTGTAGTTAGTTAATAGTGAGAACTGTTCCCCAAACTGAAGAGTGACCATATAAGGATATGTTTGTGATTTATATGTTAATATATGGCAAAAAAAAAGTCATTTTGTCAGTTTGCTGAATTCAAGCAGCATAGCACATGTCAAGACTGTGAGACTTGCTTATTTTTTACTGTATTAATTCTCAATATTGTATATTTTAAAACATTAAACTGGTGTTTATATGTCATTGTATTGTATGTTATATTCTACTTTCCATAATATAAGACTGATAGAATAGTGACCTATTTAATTTTTGTCATCATTACAAGCATTTGACATTTGCATTTAATAATTAGAAAATTTAAACACATTTATGCCTGAAGATAAAAATGTGGCCATGAATTAAGAAATCATTGAGCATGTTTTATTAATCAATTCCCATGATTTAACTAAAACAATGCAATGATTTAAATAAAACAAGGAACGAAGAAATAAAATGTGCTTGTAACTCGTGGGAATGACATCTTTTTTTTTTTTTTTTCACGTCGTGTGGAGCTTTGTAATTTTGACATTTTCAAGGTTTACATGAAGTCTGGGGACAGTTATACTAGTTAATTATCTCAGGTTTGCATGTACATTTTTGAGCTTGAATTGCCTGTGCAATTTGGTGAAAATTGAGAAATTATAGAAAAGTCATATATATATATATATATATACATATGTATATATACAGGTGCATCTCAATCAATTAGAATGTCGTGGAAAAGTTAATTTCAGTAATTCAA